ATTTGTATGCAAATATATGAATGTATGTATGCATACATGAATATATATATCTATTTACTTATTCATTCATTTGGTGACTTTTCTTTAAACTCCTAGTAAGTGCCAAGCACTGTTTTAGATGCTGGGAATATAGTGTAAAGAGCAAATCTAACAAGTTTCCTCTCCTGGAGTTTCGATTCTAATGGATCCACACAGCCTTGCATACATACAGCCCTGCCTTCACAAATAATAAAATATATTTCTCCATTATTCTGTCATGAGGCTGCACCTATGGTGTCTTACATTCTCTGAAAGTTTGATTTTTAATTCCATTTATTTCATCCTGTGTCCTGAGTGTTTCACAATTGTTCTATTGAACAGGGCTTCTAGTGTGCATATAAATGCTGTTTTAGGTGCTCCCACTCAGTGCTCCAGGTCTCTGTTGCAGATGTTTAAATGCATCACTGAAGGGAAACACATCACCAACCAGACTCCTCTATCTTTGCATGCTCCAGAACACCCTAGCACATCTTCCTTATCTTTTCTCCATCCTTTCTCCCTCTTCTCTGCCCTTTGCCCACTAACTCCACACATACTGGTCCTCTGTCCCTCCAGACATGCCAGGCTTATGTTACCTAAAGAGATTTCTGTGCTAATCATTCCTACATCCCAGGATACTTCCCCCTCCCCAGTGTGTTTGGCTCTCTGTTCCTCAGATCACTGCATGAATGCTACTTCCTTAGATAGCTTGACCCTGAAAACCACCCCATCTAAAGAAGCCACCAGTCACTTTCTATCATGTCCCTCCGTTTTAGATTTTTGCAATGAAACTTAGCAATATTGTATTGATTTTTTTATTCCTCATTTTTAAAAAAATTGTTCATCTCCCACCGGAAAATGGGTCAGCCCCAGGAAGTCGAGAAATTTGATTGTCTTGTCTATTGCAATGTACAGGACGGTGCCAGGCTCAGAGTAAGCTTTCTGGAAGTATTTGATAAATTAGTAGTTGGAGATTTTGGGGTTTGGCACTGTTTTCAAATCAATAATTATATAAAGATTTTGTCTGAGTAGAGGCCAAGTAAAATTAAATCTAAAGGGGTCTACAATAATTGGTGTCCAAAATATAAATTTTTCTTGCTAATACAAACATTTTAATCATAAAAACGTTTATTCCCTTTTACTTTGTATGATAAAAATTTTCTACCCGGATTGTTTAGAGAAGACAAAAAGAATACATATCAGTTCTGGTTCCAACTGAAAATATATTACATTACGGATGTCCCAGCAGCTTGACATAATATTTTGATTCAAAGCCATGTTGGAGACTCACCTGGAACACTTTCTCTTGGCAGACTCCTTGATGAGGGCTCTTGCCCAGGTGGGAAGTAATCTGTCACTCTGTGGGTTGCAGGAAACCTTAACCATGATCCCATCACAGTTCCTCCCTGTACCTACTGATAGGGAAAATGAGGGTGGAGAGAAGTTCACCAAGGCTCCAGAGCAGCCAGGGACAGAGTTGGAAGGAAGTTGCTCCTAATTCAGGGAGCCTTTCAAGGTGACTTACCTTGCTGGCCACGGTACCTGATTCTCATTAATGATGTGTCCTCCAGTGGTTCTGAAACAAAGAGGAAAGCATATCCCAAAGCAAACCCCATGGGAATCCTACACATTTAAGAAGAGTTGCCTCCCTAGATCATGATGCCACGGGAAGGAGCAAGGCCTGCTGGGAACACTAAAAACAGCACCCTGAGAACAGGACACATACTCAGACACCCGGGCCAGGAGGAGAGAATGGCTCCATAGGAACGTTTCAAGCTGTTGCATCTTATGACCTTTGAATGTTGCAGTTGGGCACCATTTGGAGGACCTTTAATACTGGTCTTAGTGTGACTTCCTGGCTGAGAAGCCAACAAGGCAGGGTATTGCTTTGCTACTCTGATGTGTGATTGCCTTGCTAAAATAGTTTAATTCCATAGCAGCAACCCCTTAGCAGTCTTGGGATTTGGGACTGTTCGGTCTCGATTCCTCTGTTTGGGACATTTGTCCTTTTCAAGTTTCTGTTGTATCTTTTCACTTATTTTAAATTTTACTTATTTATTTACTCTGAAGTGGGTAACATCAAAGACAGACAAATGAAGTAGAAAGGAATGGTCTAATAAATTCCATTTGCCTCGCTTCCTTCTAATTGACTTTTTTTCCCATTATTTTCTTAGCAAAAGTTCTTTCTGAGAAATGCATAGCCTTTACAAGAACAAGTAGATTTTCTTTTTTTTTTTTTTTGGTACAGTAAATCCTGATGGGCTCATTGTGCCCCAGCTGGGGAAAATGAGGTGGTAATTGGAAGGCACAATCAGAGATACACATTCCATCATCTCTGCAAGATGCAATGTCCTCAGTGATTTAGAGCAGTAGGTCTCGGCATATGATTAGGGACCAGAAGCATCAGCAGCACCTGGGAGTTTGTTCAGCATGTAATTTGGGAGACCCCCACCTCAAGCTGTAGAAACAAGAAACTCCAGAGGTGGCTTAGGGATCTGTGTTTTAAGAAGTTTTCCAGGTAGTTCTTGTGCATGCAAGAATTGAAACCCACTGTTTAGAGCATGGTTCTCTAGGGTCCAGCGGCCTTGGTTTTATCTTAGTTTCAATATGATCATCTGTGTGACTTTGGGCAAGTTACTTAACCTTTTTGTGGCTTCAGTTTTCTTTATTAAATTAATAATATGAAAGTACTTAGGTGGTAGGACTGTTATGCATATGAAATAAATTACTTAATGCTAGTATTTAGAACAGTGACTCATCAAAAGTGCTAGGTGACTACTAGCTATTTTTATTGATAGCTTTAACATCACCAAACCCTGTTAGTTATCATTAATAATAACAAAGACTTTTTGAGTACTTATTATCATAATCTGTATAGTAAATGCAGATTTCCTACTTGGAAAAAAAGTATATTTTCCAAGGACTTTGAGGTGATACACTTGGGTCACTATTATAGTTCAATATTATTATATCCATTTGAAATATCCATTGGAATGCTATATATCCATTTGAAATTTTTGGCTAATGATGTACCTTTAAACAGTTTTAAAAGATAAATAAAGTTATCACTCAGCTCTCTACTGTCTCTTTAACCAATTTGGGCATTTAGAATTTGAGGGCCTTTGCAGTTATTTGGTAATCAGTGAATCTGTAAGGAGTATTCTCATTCTCCTCCTTCTTTCTAATATCTGGTGCAAAGTATCTGTCTTTGTTATAATAAAATGGGAGATTCTAGGATTTCTCTGACCAAGTGATGGGGCATGGGTTCATCCTTGACATGGTTACTAAAGAATTGCTTTGATATTCTGGGTAAATCTCCTTCTCTCCATAGGGGTTGCTTACAGGTGACAGTACAGGGAAATGGACCAGGAGGGCAAGGCTGTTTCTGTGGGGCCTGTTGAGTTAGAGTCCATTTGCTCTCATTATCTATATGGATTCCCAACTTCTACTCTGCAGTCTAACCCTCTCCTAGTCCATAGGGTGTTCTTCATTTAGGAGAGAAAGCTTATCATTGGGGTCAAATACCCCACATTAGTCTGTTTTCTATGACTATAATGAAATACCTGATACTAGATAACTTGCAAAGAAAAGAGGTTTGTTTAGCTCACAGTTCTGGAGGTTCAAGGGCATGGCAATGGCAGTCAGCTCATCTCTGGTGAGGACCTCATGGTGGAAGCCATGGTGGAGAGAGCCTTTAAAGAGAGATCACAAGGTAGGACAGGAAGCCAGAACTTGAGCAGGGAGGGGCCAGTAATGACCTTTCACTAAATTTTACCTCTTAAAGGTCCTACCACTTCTCATGTCCAGATAGGGACCACGCTTCCAGCACATGGGCCCTTGGGGGTCAAACTGCATTCAAACCACAGCAGACCCCACCTTACCTTTTCTCTAAAGTACAATAGAGTTGCAAAGGAGGAAGTGAGTACCTGAGAAGGAGAATGTGAAGATGGCAGAGTACTTGAACCACTGCAATTGTGAGTTAAATAACGACAGCAGATGTTCAGTTATTTCTATTAAGAAAAAATTATTTTTCTTATTTCCTGCCACAACTGAAAAGTAGGTCTAGAAACCTTGACTGAGAAAGAGAATGTGAAGATGGAAGAGTACTTAAACCACTGCAATTTTGGGTTAAATAACTACAACAGATGTTCAGTTATTTCTATTACAAAAAAAAAAAAAAAAAAACCCAACCATTTTTCTTATTTCCTGTCCCAACTGAAAATTGGTATAGAAACCTTGTCTTAATGTGAACGAATGAGACACATAAACTACACATCATCCAGAGTCCACCCCGGCCTTTCTCTCCTGCGTATAGAAGCCCAATGCAGACACCTTACGAAGGAGAACTGCAGTCCTAGGAATAGCTGTTCATTTGGCTTTCTTGATTATGTTGTTTTAAGTTTGCACAGAAGGTAGCCAATGCTGTGAAACACATGTTGTTGAAAATTGGATTTGCAGGCAGCACATCCTGCTGCAAGATTTCAGTAGCCTGGAAAGGTGGTTTGGGTGTCTAACGAAGCTTCAGAATGTAGTATGTAGTTGTTGCTCAGAGCCCTGACAGAATGGGCCAGTGTGCCCTTTGCATTTGTCTGATTGCTTAACTGAGCAGATAGCTTTTTGTCACTTCCAGATAATAATTTCACTTACAAAGTAAACATTCCACCGTGACTCTCCCTCCTCTCTGCCACGCCACTGTTTGGTTTCTGCTGCTTTAATATCCCGGTGCTCTTGCCCCGCTGTTCCTTGAAATGGAAATGACAAGTTCTATCAAAAGAAGGCTCCTGGTGCCCACTGCCAAGGGAATGGAAGGGGCACTGGAGGTGGAGTCTCTGTAGGAGGAACCTGCCTTTGAGATGTCTACTCTACAGTGTGCATTCATATTTGGGACCTCCGTGTCTTTATTTCTCATGGAGATATTATTTTTTTGTGCTGTTGTACTTTCCTTTTTGAACAATATTCTCTTTATTTTTGCCCCCCTTGAGGCTCAAAATGCCCAGCAGCTCCATGAACGAATCCAGTCGTCAAGCATGGACGCCAAACTGGAGGCCCTGAAGGACCTGGCCAGCCTCTCCCGGGATGTCACCTTTGCCCAGGAGTTTATAAACCTGGACGGCATCTCTCTCCTCACCCAGATGGTTGAAAGCGGCACTGAGTAAGCATCCTTTACCCAAACTCTGTCCTAGTTGTTCCAGCATTTTGGATGTTTGTTAAATTCCCTGTGTTTGCAATTTCTACTTTAAAAGCTCAGAACTTTCTAGACTTAGGAGAAAATGGCTTTTAAGATAGTAGCTAGGAGTTGGGCACCATGATGCATGCCTATAATTCCAGAGACTCAGGAGTCTGAGGCAGGAGTATTGCAATTTTGAGGTTGGCCTCAAAAGTTAGGGAGGCCTGATCTCAAAAAGAAAAAAAAAGTTGGAGATGTATCTCAGTAGTAAATCTCCTGTAAAACACACGCGCGCGCGCGCACACACACACACACACACACACACACACACAATAATAGCTAGAGGATGAGTTTGTAATTTCAGTAACTCTGTGTCCTTTACTCACCAACTAGCCAGTATCTGAGGCATAGAAGTAATCTATAAATGCCTGAAGTTTTGTATTTTGGAGGAAAAAAATATTAGTTCATTATACCTGTGGTCCTTAACAACACTAAATTTATAATTCTACAGAATATTAATCTCTCATATCTCTTGCCTATCTCTAAGGAAACTTCCTTTCCCTGATTTCATCTACTTATGTTGCAGAGTATTAAACAAGGGCAAGATATCACTCTGGAGTTTATTCTTTTATTAACGTTTGAATAATCAAATATATGTCATTAATTATTTAAAATTAAATGCAGTAAATATTTATTTAATGCCTACTGTATGTGAAAGAGTGGGGAGTGGAAAATTTTTCAAAGATTTGAACCTTGCTTTCCAAAAAAGGATGGACACTATGATACAGACAGAACTCCATTGGATATAGTTCCTGATGAGGGTAGGAGGCTTGAAGCTGCAGCTGTTCAATATCAAAGGGTCTCTCAGAGAATATGCTGTTGAACTGGGCTGTGCAGGAGCTCAGGTTCCTTCATGATAGAGAGGGACCAGCATTTCTGGTAGGAGAACTTACCTCCTCAGTGAAGGCTTTGATTCTCTGGGTGGAATAAGAATCCAGGAGGGTCCAGCTCTTACATGTATGGGAAGACCTCTCCCCAGACCACTGAATGCCCAGGGAGGATGGACAAGGAGCTGTCCCTGCTCACAGGGAGGGGTGCTATTGGCATGAGAAATGGCTGAATCTGTTGCATATTAATATGTGTAAGATTGGGATAGGCATGTATTAGGAAAAAAAAACAAATGCCATAGAGGATTGAGATTTAATCCTGGGCTGTTTACATCTCTCTTTAGTACCTAGTGATATGAAGAATGAACTGATGACTGTACCTGTTGGGGCTCTGTCTGGGTCCCGTCCCTCCTCCCCTCCCTCCCTGATCCCTTCCTTCCTGGCCTATGCTTGACATTGTTTATCCACCACATTTGGCACTAGTAAAAGATACTTTTCTTCTCATTTAAAAACAGTATGTTTTACAATACTGGGGATATGTCCCATATAAGAATGATCTTTAGAGTTTGCATTGGGAATCTTGCCATACAGAAAAGTAGGAAAAATGTCTAAAACTGAATAGGGAAAAAAATGCACATCAAATCCAAGAATGCTAACTGCTTGGATGGTCTGGAAAAGGTCAATTGTAGACAGGTACCAGTTTTTGTTTTGTTTTGTTTTATTTTTTTAATATATCTTTTTTAAAGATTTTTAATATTTATTTTTTTAGTTTTCGGTGGACACAACATCTTTATTTTATTTTTATGTGGTGTTGAGGATCAAACCCAGCGCCCCACACATGCCAGGCGAGTGTGATACTGCTTGAGCCACATCCCCAGACCTTGTTTTGTTTTAATGGTGACTGCTCATGAAAGTTTTAGAGTACATCACCTTGGAGTGGGATGGGGAAGCTCAAGTTCTGGGTGTTTCCAGAATCCAAAGTGGTTGCTCTAAGTGGAGGTGGAGCTTGGGACAACTAGGAGGAATTCAACAAGAATGAGTTCAGGGATCCAAGGCCTGGACAGAGGGAAAGGATAAAAAGGGTTCTGTCTGTGGCAGAAGTTCAAGGGGAAACCTAGAGTGTCAGCCCTTTCATCCTTGTTTCTAGTGGGCAGAGGAGGAGTAGGAGCCGTGGTTATAAATACCTTCCCTGTCAATTGTGGATTACTGCAGGTGCTGCCAGCTGTGGTAACCTGCGCTGCCTGCCCACCACTGCCAGGTGGACAGTGAGCCCTTGGGGCTTCAGCCTCAGTGACATTTACTAATATGTTAAACTGAAATAGAAAAATGTTAGCTCATTTATGGATTTACCTAAGTACCAGTCACTGCTATGTCAAGGGCAGTGTGCCAGGTGGAATGACGACTGTTCATTGTAGGTGGCTCTGCGACAGATGCCTAGGTATCCAGGGACTCGAATATTCGTAGTGATACAGTGTAAATACTTCCCAATTTAAAAGAATAGCCATCATAATTACAGTTTTAATAATAAAGATATGGAAGCAGGGGTCTGCGTGACATGCATGTGGAACACAGGACTGTGGTGAGTTTCAGTGGCACCAGAGACTGGCAGTTGTGTATTTTGACAAAGAAGATGTTGTTACAGGGCTAGGCGCTTGCTTTCCTTTTTCACAATCTCATTGCATTAGTCTGCTAAGGATGCCATAGCACAGTGTCACAAACTGGTGGCTTAAACCACACACATTTTTTTCTCACCATTCTGGAGGTTGGAAGTTCAAGGTCAAGGGGTCCCCAGAGTTTGCTTCTTCTGAGGTCTTCCTCTGAGACTTGCAGGTGGCTGCCTTCTCCCTGTGTCTTCATATGGGCTTCCCTGTGTGCATGTGAACCAGGGGCTCTTTGTGTACAAATTTTCTTCCTCTTAAAGGGATACTGGTAGAATTGGATTAGGGAAGACTTCCTAAGGGTCTCATTTGAATTTAATCACCTCTTTCAATGCCCCATCTCCAAATAGAGTCCCATCCTGAAGTACTAAAGCTTAGAGCATCAACATGTGAATCTTGGGGAGGAGGGACATAATTCAGACCATGACTCTTATCAAAGTCACACTTCTACTTTTGTTTTAAAAGAAAAATAGTACAAATTCATAATGTACATTTGTCTTGTTGACATTCTTACTTTCTATCAGCCCTTTTGTTTTACCTTATAACTCATCTCAACCTACAGAGCTGCCCCAAAGCTCGCCATCCCGAAGACCTAGGATCTGGGGTCTGTGGAGAGCAGATCTGACTCAGGTTTTCATGTTGCACATGTACAGCACGAGAGAATGTCAATATTCAATTTTCTTTATGTTAATCATACCATTAAGAATATCCAGTGTGTTAACATTTTAACTATTTGTACTCATCAGTAAACCATTGCAATTCCATACATCTGTCCATGTTCTAGATTGGTAAGCAGAGCACAAACCAGATCTTGGACAAATTCTGTTTTGCATTTTTCTCTCACAATCACATTCTGTTTGTGGGAAGGAATGACATCTCTCTGGGTCACCTTTGGTGTCTTCTCACTGTTTTGCCTAATTTCAGAATGATGCTGCTTTTGAGGGATGGATCCTGAGGCCTCTTCCTTCTGCCAGTGCTGCATCTCATTCTAAGAGGTGGCTCATTTTTCTGATCTCTTGCTCAGATTAAAAAGAAAAGAGAAAGATGCTTTTCTCATAAGGAAACCTGGCTTTTCAATTAAACTTACACTGACATCTTAATTAATTGGTAGGAAACCTTTGGAATAAAAAACATAGGAATTTACTAGATTCTGCAGTCAGGAAGGCAGTTAGTCATGACTCCTGGGCAGACGTCAGCTGGGGAAGGTGGAGACTTCCCAAGCTGGACCTGTGGAAATTTTTAGGAAACACTGAAAAAACACACACAGCTGTCAGTTTTCTCCTTACTTTTAATAATGATGAGATTCAGAGATTTCTTACCTGCTTTTCATGACCTAAGGCTATGCTTTCAAAGTCTCTTTCCTGCTGGCACCAGGAGGGCCAAGGGACCAAATCAGCCACCAAGGAGCAACAGGGAAGTATCATTTTGGCAGAGCACCGTACTGAAAGTGCTGAAAGCCTGAATTCAATTTTTCCATCCTTGTGGAATTTCGAAATCCCATTCCTAGTTTCTGATTGAAACATAGGTGGGGAAACAAAGTGTGGAAACATGTTCCGCCAAAGCAAGGTGAGGAATATGAAGGAATGTACAGTGCTTCAAAAAAGAGATGGCTATCAAAAAATTTTCAGGAATGATATATTTGATTTGAATTTTATTTATTTATTTATTTTTAACCTGCAACTTCAAGTTTCTGTCTGTTCTTTGGGTTTTAACACAGCTTGACATTCTTTGTGCCTCCATGCACACAGATAATTGGGCAGTTTACTCTGTGCCCTTTCCTGTTAAATGGCCAGTCATCACTGAGGGCAGAGAACAGTGGAACCTGTCCAAGAACCAAAGGGCAGAGCACTAGCAGTTTCCTTCCCGCTTGGCAACGTGATGAGAGAATGATGCGGATGGGATATGAGTAAGCTCTGGCACCACCCTGGGCAGTGGTATCCACAGAGAGGAAGTTGAAATCCATGGATTTCCAAAGAACTTGGACAGTCTTTTAAAAATTAACCTTCATTCCTTAACACAAGATCAGATTTATTGTTAAGAATATGTAAATAAATAGAAGGAAAATAATCATGAATAATCTGTCATTTCCTCTTCCACAGACAAGCGCGTTTAATATCTTGGTGTATATCCTTTACATATATCCTTTTAAATACACAGTTAGGCACAGAATTTATAAAAGTAGAGTTGTAATATTCATACTCTTTATAACCTATCTGCTTTTTATATCTAACAATAGACTCATATCATTAAATATTACTCTTTCCAGCTTTATTGCCTGCATTGCCTGCATGTTATTTCATTTTACAGCTTTGTTGAGGTACAGTTGATACATAATATAATTGGAGGTATGTAGATAGTAGAGTTAACCATTCCCCTTCTCCTAGGGCCTTTATATCGTTTTCAGGGTGTTTTCTGAATATCCTCAAGTCAGCTTTCCTTTTAGCAAAATCTGAGTGACTGTTGAAATTATTTTGTTGGATTAAAATTCTTGACTCAGAGGATATCTACATTTTAAAGCTGTTTTAAAATCAGAACAGACTAGGAGCTTGCCAGAATGTTCTAATTTGTACTTTCCCATTTGTATAAGAATATATCCATTTCTAATACCCTGATCAATACTGGGCTGGAATTCCTACAGATTTTCTAGTTTTTCAAGGAAAAAAACAGCAGTGAGGTGTTTGAGGAGTTCTCATTCATCTAGGGAATATATAAGTACTGATTTATTTGTTTGATTGAGGTCATTTCTCCAAAGTTTGGCTGTGTCAGGAATAGTGTAAAAGAGTCTTGTGAATATTTTAGTGGTAGAGAAAATCCTTAAGTAATTGTCTTCAAAAGCAACAACACTAATTGTGTAAATAATTAGCCCCCATCCACTCTGTCATGCATGTTTCAGAAGAAGACTGACTGATGCTATATATAGGTATATTGCATGTGTGTATAAAGATTGTTGTCACTACAACACAAGAATAGTCTCATGTTAAACTTTCATTATTCAAATTTTCTTTTCTTTACATGAAACATAGCTGTTTTCAGTTTTTAGGTATTGTGAAACTTGAGGTAGCACTTAACACACGCTGCATGTTGCTGCAGCTTTGTTGCTTAGCACCCACACTTGAGAATGGGTTTGTAGTTTTATTCATTGAGCAAAGTGTATGTTCTTAGTGCTGAGCAGTATTTCTGACACTGGGCTAGGCCTGTGAGGGGTAGAGGGAGGTATGTGGGAAGAATACAGAGATGCATATGACAGTTCTGACTATTTGTGTCTTCACCCAAAAGGTACATTTCTTTTTCTGAAAGAAACTTAAATGCTACAGTCAGATTGTCAGCTTCAACTCATACCATTTCTTCTGAGAACCTGGTGTATTTGTAAGTCCAGGCTGTTCTGGGAGGTCCAGGCCAGCCCAGATGGATCAGCCAACTACTGAGCCTAGCAGCTCAGCCCTGCTCATACCTAGAAAGTTTCACCCCCTCAGAGACCACAGGGAGTAGCAAACAAGCTCCCAGACTGAGCCAGAAAGAAGCCTGCTCCATGTGGTCTCTGCAGTCAGCCCCAGCTGGAAGGACTGACTGCCTGGTCTTCCCAGCTCCCTCTGCTTTTTTTTTCCCCTGTGGCTTTTCTCTGCATATCTAAGGGAGTCACAACTGGAACAGCCCTTTTGGGGCCCTGCCAATAATTTGCATCACAAAGGCATCAGAGGCCAACTTCAGAAAATTCCTTAAACAGGATCTACCCCCTCCTCATCAGCCTTTGCTTTCTCTCTGGGTCTTTGTGGATCTCACTGGTAATGGAAATGAGAAGGGGTCACAAGGCCAGTTTCAAGAAGAGATTATCTTCTGCTAATGCAGAGAATACCATTCCTTGGGCTGGGACAAGAGGTTTCTGGCCACTGTGAAACCTTAGTCTTTCCAGGAACCATTTCTCTTCTCATATTTAAAAATAAATAAATAAATAAAATAAAAGAATATCCTGGGAGGAAGAGAGTATCCCAGTTAGAACAACAGACACATATCACAACAAAAAACACTTCCCTTCTTCTGTAGAATCTAAATAAAGTGAGGGTGCACAAATAGAGATGTGAGGAATATTGACTTGGCCCAGGTATTTTTTTGCACTCTGGTCTGGGAGGAATATCCAGGACTGACTGAGTCACTAGTCAAGGTGGAATGTGTGAAAAACCTGAAGTTGCTTGGGCCCCCAGCCAGAAAGTTATTTTGAAGCTTTGCAGTGACTACTTAATATATCTCATGCACATGCACATATTTTATTTCAAAATAGTTTCTAACTTGCAGAAAAGTTGCAAGATAGAGAACTCTCATTTGTCCTTCACCTAGAGAGACGTCACTCAGTTTTTTTTCCTGTTGTCCTGATTGCATCTTTTAATATAAAGGATATATCTCCAGGCAGCACCTTCCACCCTGTTCTTCCACAACTTTGACATTTTTTTTTTTTTAAGATTATAGGTTAGCAATCTAGTTAGCCTGTCTTCCAGTTGGATTTGTTAAAAGGTAATTGGATATGGATCCTTTTCAGGGAAAGGTAAACCTAGGACTTTCTTACAGATGTACAAATGGACATGTGTTAAAAGAATTAATTTTACCCATATGATATGAGGGGACCAGCAGATGGTATAATCGTTTCAAAGGGAAAAGTCAAAAGAGAACAAATTTATATGGAGCAAAGGAATGTTGAGATGAATTGCAAATGGAGACCAAACTGGTTTTCTACCAGCAGGGAGGAAGCCAATTAAATCACTACCAGACAGGACAAAAATATATATCCATTAGTTACCTATGGCTTGCAAGAGTTATAAAATAGCTCAAAGGCAGCACAGAGCCAGAATCTGATAACCCAGAAGAGTATGTATATAGTCTGCACAGTTTTCCATTGAACCCCACATGTTTTTCCGGGGTCAGGTTGGTCTAATGTGTTCTCATGATTGAGTCTGTATTATATATTCTTGATTGGAATTTCACAATGATGCAGATAATTTTGTTTTTGTTTTTCATTGTATGCTATTGTTGGCCTGTGGTGTCTCTTTGTCTTAATCACATTCACTTTGACCACTTGATTAAGAACATCTTCAGTTGTCTTCATTGCAACATTTACCGCCAACCTTTTGCAATTAACTTATGAATAATTTGTAGGGAGATACTTTGAAACCATGTAAAATCCAATTCCTCATCCCAATTTCACCCACCAGTTTTGACACTAATTTTCTTATTTAACTTACTTCTTCTTATTATAATTTCCGAAGGAGGCTTTTCTGATGTTATCATTCTTTCTCCATTTTCTAGTTGCCTTTTCTCTGTTGGAAGAGACCTACATTCTCCTATGTTTCTGTTCATTTGTATATTGATTTCCAGTGGAGTGCTAGTGCTGGCTTGTACAACATCCAATAAGAGTATTGCAACTCTTCCCAGCTTCATGCTCACAGATGTCATGTTGGTACTTTAAATCAGCCATGGTAAAAATAGTGACATCGTAGACATTGGAAAGTGGTACACATCAGATTTCTGTGTTTTTCCCCTCAGGACTTTTGTTCTGAAACTTTATCAACACATCACTTGATAATAAGTGGACTCATCTATTCTGTTTTATTCCATGGCTATCATCTGTCAGTACTATGACTATTGGGATGCTCATCTTGTCCCAGATGTGGCTGGCAGGAGCTCCTTCAACCTAGCTTCTGTGTCCTTTTGACCATTTCCCCATCATTTGTTGAGCATTTCTTTGCTTTCTGGCTCAATCAGATGTTCCCAGCATTATCTAGATCTTTCCTTTCCTCGGCCTTGGCATGAACCATTTCTCCAAGGACCCCTAGTTCCTTTTAGTGGAAATTTGTGTTTGGCTTTTGCAAATGTCCCCAGCTTCTGCTCAGGCCAGCCGCCCCCTGGTTACCTATTTTTTTTTCCCTCTGCCAATAGCTTTTTGATGGAGGAAGGAAGGAAGAAAAACAATAAATATTTTAAAAAGAAAAGTAGTCAAAGGAGGGGAAGGGAAGAAAAGAGAAAAAAAAAACCTCCTTATATACCTTTTTTCATAGTTTTACAAAACACTAGATTTTAGTCTTCATGCTGCTATTTTAGTTGTTGAAGGAGTTATGTTTTATGTGATTGAGAATGTGAAGCCTTCAGAACAGAATCATGCACCAACGGTTTATTGAGTACCTACTCTGTGTGTGTCTGATGTTATGCCAGTTATGGTAAATTACGATCCCTGGCCTTCAGGGAACCAGGGTAGTGAGATATCCTATGGCTGGTGGTGTGCAGACACTGGTGCCCCCTGCAGTCTGAATGAGGGAAATGCAAGGTCAGGGAGGCTCTCCACAGGAGCCTAGGGTGAGGTGAGTTTGGGGATAGGAGATGACTAGTTGGAAGGAACAGAAGGATCCTTAATACAGCTAGACAACAGATTTAAAGCTAGACTTTTGGCAGATGTGAGGAATGGAAAGTGGTTTGATCAGAATAGAATCTCTGGTTTCCTTATCTTGTTGAAACTCCGGTACCCTCAAGATTTTTCGTTTGTTGGTTTGTTTTTTTAAGTACCTTGTCCCTTGTTGTAGCCAGGTTTACCCATTGCAGGTTTCTTCCCAGAGTTCTGATCTTAGTGTCTGACACAATTTCTCATCACAGAAATTGTAGTGTCTTCCCTCAGAAGAAGCACACATTTTGAAGAAAAAGTACAATTAGTGGATATTTTACCATGAAGGATAATAAATTGTTTCCTTATAGTCCAGTACTTTTGGGCTTAACTTTTTTCATTGCAAATATAGGCATTCTTATCCCTTAGGGTTCCACCATCATTGAACAGATCCATTCTAATCCAAAGAGAGTGTTCTCATTGTCTTTAGCAATACCTCAATAAAGTGAGTTTTGAGAGTAGTTTTGACTGCCTCTTTTCATTAAAGAATACTAATTTATTATTTTGAATATTTTAAAATGGATAAAATGGCTTTACTTGGCAATAGATTCTCTGTCCTATATCTGATGTGTAGTTTTCTTTTCTCTCTCTCTCTCTCTCTCTCTCTCTCTCTCTTCTCTCAGTACTAAGGATCTAACCCAAAGGCATTCTGCTGTTGAGCCAAATCCCCAGCCCTTTTGATTTTGGGTTTCTCAAAGTTACTGAGGCTGGCCTAGAACTTGCCATCCTTCTGCCTCAGCCTTCAGAGTCACTGGAATTACAAACACACACTACCATGCCCAGCTAATCTTGAATTTTCTTTAATATGTATTATTTGTGTAAAAATCATGGCTTTCAAACATGCTTCTCACATGGTTGTTTTTAAATTTTGCAGCCGATACCAGAAATTGCAGAAGATTATGAAGCCTTGGTAAGAATATATAATCAATTCATACTGATAATTTTATGCTTCCTTTTTCTTTGTATAATTAAGCCCTGTCCCCTAACTTCATAACTATGCAGCTAGATATTTTGAGTAAATGATTTTTTTTCTTTCTGTTTGATGTTCTTATAAACAGGTTCTTTAAAAATTTATTTTCCTTCTCGTTTGCCTTTGTAGTAGAAAGGGCATTTTAGGTTTAGAACCACTAAATGATCACATCAGGATTGCTCTCCTTCTCCTGGAGCAATACTGAGCATAATTTTATGCATTACTTTAAACAAAACTTTCTTTTTTTGTGGCCTATGTGATGTTCAAAGTTAAAAGTCTTTGATTTTTTTTCAATGGCTCAGAAAGAAAAAGATTCACATTAAAAAAATATTCAGGGCTGATCTGTGGAATGAAAATTATTTGCTCTGGGTCTGAGAAAGTGCTCGATTATCTATGTCTTAAGTGGAATGCCTGCAAATTGTGTCTGGAGATCTGAGTCTTCCCCCTCGAGTGGCTTTCTTACTCTCTAATCAAGGTGAGTCCAAATAGGATCTAACAAACTCTATTAAGTAGGCTGAACAGATTTCCCTGGAACCCAAGTGTTAATTTCAATTTGAGAAATTTCAAGATAATTTCAATTTGAGAAGGAACACTGAACAGCACCTCAAAATGTGGACCTCATTTCTCAAGCCCTCAGACAAAATCCTTAGCACCTTCAATGTACTCTAGTGTGATACTGAGCGCAGGGGGTTCACCTTCCCCCCACTCTTCCCACATAGAAAGAGGATTAGTTACAGGAACTCTTGTGTTTATTAAATTCTAATAAAGTAGAAAGCAATATTGCATTTCTAGGGTAAAGCTTAAATTTTATTTTGGCATACATTTTTAATATAGTAGAAACACTTAATGGTAAAGGCAGTAGAAACCACTTTTATGAGCATTTATCTTGGTCATAATCTCAATGTTACACCCACTGCTTCTTACCCACCCTTATATCCACCACATAGTACAAATTAGCATTCTTTCCTTAATGCAGTGGTTAAAATCAGATGGTAGAGGTAGGATGAAAGTCTTTTTTTCTCTCCATCAACCTCATATAATTTGCTAATGTAGAGGCATTTGGGGATCTAAAGCTGAAATAATTTCTTAAAAATTTGCCAGCCAATAGTTTTAGTTGACTGGTATGTAGGGGTGCTGAACAGTTTGTGATCCATTTATCAGTCATGGACAGAAATCAATGATCAGAGAATCAGATGAACACAAATACAGATATTATATCATGGCTAAATATTGTGGACAGAACATCTAAAAACAACCATTTGAAGGCACCAGATAACAAGGCAAAAAGTAGAATGAAGGCATCCCTTGACAGAACAGATGGGCCTTGAATGGGATTTGTGTGTTTGCTGCTTTTTGCCCCAGATCATCTGCTCATCCATGTAGCATGGGGTGGCAGAAATCCCTGGCATTGGTAAATGACTAGTTTGGAACCGGAAGAGTAGCTTGATCAGTAAAGAGAATCCATGAAAGAAAGGAAGCTCTTATTGTGTAAAACCAAACATCTACATATAAATTCTGCTGAGATATATTACTGATTATGGAAACATGAATGCACATATATCTGTGGAAACCCAGAGGGCCCCGTAAAAAGAATGACTAGAAACTTAAAGAATTGAACAGAGATGTGAGTCTTTCTCCGCACAATTTGGAGTTTGAGTAACCTCTTGCTAGAACAAAATCAACACTCTTTTTAGAGGAATGAAACTGAATTCTGAGCCTTGACAATGTTTTATCCACAATATGCAGTATACAATAAAAAATTTACTATGTATACAAAGAAATAGGAAAGGATGACTCACAGTTAAAGAAAATGAAAAAGGCAGATAATAGAAATTGACTGTAGGAACTCCAACATTAGGTGTTGGATTTAGCAGATGAAAATTTTAAAACAACTTTTAAAAATATGTTAAAAGACCAAAGAAAAGTGTCTGTATAATGAATGCACATTTGGGAAACCTTAATGGAGACTAAGGTTATTAAAACATCAGAGAAACAGAAAACATAAAAATAAGCAAATGTAAACTTTAAAACTGGAAAGTAAAAGAGTTAGAATGAAAAATTCATTATATAAAGATTGAAGGTGGCAGAAAAAGAGTCAGTAACTTTGAAGATATATTAGTATACATATCTGAGAAAATAGATAAAATAAATAGTGAATATTTGACCTATGAGATAACAAGAAGTGACCTAAAATATAATTAATTGAAGTCCCAACAGGAGAGGAATGAGAGTGGGAAGAAAAATATTTGAGGAAACAATTATATAAAAACAATTTAGTTTGCTGAAATTTGTAAATTAACAGATCTAAGGAGCTCTGTGCACCCCCAAGAGGGGTAAATACAAAGGAAACTCTACCTCAAAAGATAATAGTCAGACTTTTGAATTCCAAAGATAAAATGAAAGCAGTCAGAGAAAAAAAATTATTAATGAAAATAATAACATAAGTTTGAAAACAAGAATAAAGGCTGACTTTTTACTAGAAATAATGGAGGCTAGAAGGACCTCTTAACAATCAATGCTGAAAAAAAGAAAAAAGAGCTTGTCAGCCAGAATTCTATAACTAGAAAAACTCTCTCTGGAAATAATGGTGAACTAAAAACACTTTTAGATGAAGGAAAATGAAGACAGTTCATTGTCAGCAGATCTATACTGCAAGAGGTATGAAGCAAGTTTTTCAGACTGAATGGACTTGATACTACCTAGAAATCAGGTTCTATTAGCAGAGTTCTATTAGCAGAGTTTCTTCTTTTAGAAGAAACCTGGAAACTGTAAATGAGTGGATAAATATAAAAGACAAAGCACACTTTTCTTTCTTTTTCTTAGACTTCTTTAAAAGACACATAACATATAAAACTCAAGTTACAGTGATGTTTATTAACAGGGTTTATAATGTGTGGAGTTGTAAAATACATGACAAAAGTAGCACAAAGGATGTGGATATAAAAGAGACCAGTTTAAAAATATTTAATTAGCCCAGATGAAGGTAGGAAAAGAGAACTAGAACACAAGACATAGTTAGGAAAGATAAAAAATGAATAACAAATCGATTGGCTTAAATGTAATCACATCAATACATAAACGTAAGAGGACTAAGCACATTAGTTAAAAGGGTTAGCCTGTCAGACCCCCTTGCCCCTCGGCAAAAAAACACCCATAGAAAACAAAATGCATGATCTCAGCTGTATGCTGCTTACATGGACACATAGACACATGTCTTGTGGCTTGAAAATTTAAAAAAAAATGGAAAAACATATCATGCAAATGCTAATAACAAAGTTAAGTAGTTTTATTAATATCAGGTAGAATAAGATTTAAAGATAACTTGTTATCAGAGATAGAGTGGTATACATAATAAAAATTGGTCAATTCATTAGGAAAACGAAAATGTTAAATTCATGCGCACCTAATAATAAGGATTCAAAATACACAAAACAGGAACTGATCGTCAAAAAGGAAAATGGACAAACCCATCATCCTAGTTGAATATTTTAATACCACTGTCTCTTAACTGATAGGAAAATTACGCGAAATCAATAAGGGTATAGAAGATCTGATTAATACTGTTGAAGGTCTTCATTGCCATTTATAGAGCATCATACCCAACAATAGCAAAAATATATATTCTTTTGAAGGCTCTGGCAAAAAGATCATATGCTTGACCATCAATTTACAAATGATTGCAACTATATAAAAGTAATGTTCTTGGATCACAAGGAAATTATATTAGAAATCAGTAACAATCATATAGCTGAAAATTCCCAGATGTTTGGCATCATTACCTGAGAATCAAGGAACAACGTAGTTGAAATTACCAAATATTTTTAACTGGATAGTGTTGAAAATAAAAACATACACCAGAATTTGTGATGAATCTAAATCAGTGGTTTGAGGGAAATTATTGGCTTAAAAGCTTATATTGGAGAAGAATAAAGATTTAAAAAATCAGTGGTCTAAATTTCAGCTTAGGAAGCCAGGGAAAGAATGTGAACTAAGTAAGTAAAAAAAAGAATAAAAATAGATGCGATCAGTGAAATAGAAAAGAAACAAATAGTAGAGAAAATTAAAAGTCAAAACTGAGTTACTTTGCAAACTTTTTTAGGGGAAAGAAAAAAAAAAGAAATCCAGATATCAACACTAGGAATAAGAGAGGTATATCACTACAGATCCTACTGACATAAATAGAAAAAAAAAAATGTAATTGTAAATAACTTTATGCCAAAAAATTTTAATTTTTAGATGAAATGGACAAAGGCTTTGGGAAACAGAAGTTACTAAACTATGGAAACAGATGCTTTGAACTCTCTTCATGAAAGATCTTATTGGCTCAACCACCAGGAAAGCAGTTAGCTAGTAGCTTCCAGCTAGAGCACATGCAAGATCCATGGCAGCTTTTAAGTCAAGACTGAACCCTTGTCAGGCAGTCTCCAGTGGGTCAGCATGGTGAAGGTCCCAGACTCTGGCCATTGCTGCTCACTGTGGGACTCCTCCAAAAGGCAATGTTTGTTTTGGAGTTCCCTACTAGTTAACTGAGACTTTACCAGATCTGCATCAACTTCCCTTCCCTGTTCCTCTCACAGACATCAGATCTGCCTCATCTAATCCTGCTTTCTGCTCCTTGAGGTTTCACAGGTATTACCCAGTCTCCTAGTGAACTGGAGGGGTTCACTTCTCAGAGGACTAATACTGACACAACAAAAACTGACTCCTGATGAAATAGAAAATCTGAGTGCCCATAGCTATGAAAGAAATGGAATTCATTATTAAAAGCCTTCCCTGCAATGAAAACTGGTTCCAGTGGTGAATTCTATCTGATTTTTGTAGAAGAAATATCAAATCTACACTTATGCTTTCCGAACATAAAGGAGGGAGGGACACTTTCCAATCACTTTCGGCAGCCTGTATCTATCACTCTGGTACCAACACTTGACAGTGACAATAGA